CTTACTACACACACACACACACACACACACACACACACACACACCCCCAAGGTACTCTACTGCCTAGTCAAGCTATTTCTCCATCTGCTGGAAAGCAAGAGGTTAAAATTATTTCTCTTTTCAATACGTGGGAGGTGCTCAGACACAGTGATGGTGCTACACAAGTACCACAGGGTACTTCCAGCTCCTGGCTTGCACCCCCTTCCCCTGAGAGTTATTAAAACCAGGCAAAAGTCTGAATAGTCCCACAACATCAGTGGCCCAGAAGAGATCCATCTGCCAGACATCTCTGAAGAGCTGAAGCAAGCCCATCTCTGGAATTAGATTCCTCATGTGCAGTCAGACCTCTGCTAAAGGAGAAACATCAGTTTCCGGTGTCACTCCAAGCTCAACCTCCCCTCCAACCCTCCCTCCAGTGTCCTCCACTCCCTTTCTATTGCATGCCAATAGCCACGCTGCTGGATACAACAGAATTTAGTGGCCCAGCCTGGTGGGTATGCGGGTCACAGCCAAGTCTGTGTTTATTGAAACCAGCGTTATATTTACAGTAAAGTTCTAAGAGGGACAAGGGTGGGGAGGAGGTGGAGGATGAAGTGACTATCAAGCTTCATTGGCCCTCAAACCAGACAGACCAATTACCTGTCCTGAAACTACCCACCAGCAGTTCAGCAAGAACAGAACAATCAGTTAAGGAACAGCTTTCCCTGAAGGATCTCAGAGCACATTAGTCGCACTTAACCTCTGGGTAATGTAGGTGCCACATTACAGATGGTAAAAAAGGCAGACAGCTGGGGCTTGCTTAGAGCAGTGGTTCCCAAACTGGGGTTTGTGAACCCCTGGGGGTTTGAGAAATGTTACAAGGGGTTCTCGGGGGAAAAATCCCTAATGGCAGACAGAGCTGTCCCTAGGCACCCCGGGGCCAGCAGCCTGGAGCCCCTGGACTTCCAAGAGCTAAGCAGATCAAAGCAAGCATATCTATCACACTGAGGAGATTTAAACTTCAAGACTCCTTAGGAGAAATGGAAAGGGAAGTGGATATTTTTTGCTGTTATTAAAATTAAATAGGCAGCTAGTGTTGTTTTTAAAATTATTATGAAGAACAAGTTTAAGCTTTGTTGTAACGTGCGTTGTTTGCCGGGACTGCTCAAGACCTGAATGCTTGTGTAGGAGGAACTCTGAGTTGGCTTCTTAAATACCTTCCTGCTGTTTCACATCTGATACTCCTTGATGAAACATAGGAGCCTTGTCTTATAAACAGGCTTATTCAAAGTGATACAAGCTACGAAAGAGAGATCTTGGAAAAGTGTTGCCGTTTTCATAATGTAATAAAAATACTGTAATGAAATAATAAATAGTGTGTAATACGCATGTCATAAAAAAACAAATTTTACATTTCCAAGATCACTGATTTTATAATTTATACTCAGGTAAAGGAGAAAATCCCTGGAAATATTCATTTTTAGGAGGGGGTTCACGAGACTTGACATTTTAGTGAAAGGGGTTCACAGGTTAAGGTTTGGGAACCACTGGCCTAGAGCAACTCAGCGAGTCTTCAACTGAACGCTGGTGTCCCAACAACGCCAAGTCCCTGCTCTAACTACTAGAGGAAACTCTCAGTGACTGCAAAATTTGAGAAGAGGCCAAAGTATGGTGCAGTCAACACAGGTGGTAAAACAACATTTCTCAGGAGACACAAAGAATATCCAGCTCCCCAGAGATTTAGAGTGTCCCCCATCCCACAGCCTTCCTCCACTGCCTTTATGTGGAGATCAAAACTGCTTCTGAAGCAGCGTCTTAGTGAGGAACAGACTCTAGACATGCCTGTTGACACTTGCCCCCAAATGCCGCACGACGGCAGACGGATTTGGAGCTGCTCGTAATAATCTGTGAATACTATTAACCTGGCCATTGTCTGCTTTGTGCATAGATTGAGTTAATTCAACAGCAGCACTGTCACGAAATGCACCCAGGAAGCGTGGTGCGGGAGGTGGAACAAAATATACACTTCTTAGAAAGAGCCTCTGTGATTCAGCAACCTCTTGTGCTAACTGGCAGAGGGCATGGGAGGCACAGAGCTTTTCATGGATCCCGAGTCAAGTACATGTACAATAATTCACCAAAGGGTGGCAATGTAAGGTCTATGCCAAGAGCTCACCAATCAGCATAAACATTGCTGAATGTGTGTATGGATAATTACAGGTTTCAGAGTAGCAGCCGTCTTAGTCTGTATCCGCAGAAAGAACAGGAGTACTTGTGGCACCTTAGAGACGAAAGCTTATGCTCAAATAAATTTGTTAGTCTCTAAGGTGCCACAAGTACTCCTGTTCTTTTTGTATGGATAATATTTATGAAGCTATGTGTCTATACTGGAAACTAAAGCATTGAATTGAAGGCAGGTCACCAGGAGGTGACGTGCCTGGGACA